TAATTTGCAAATTTTTTCTGGATAGTTTGACTTCTACCATATTCATATTCGGTATGGATTTTGCACGTTCAAGTTGTAAAATGTTATTTTAATATTGGGTTGATCCAGCACCCAACCTCAGTTTGACTGTGAAAGTAATAGACGAAAATGATGATTTTTTTTCTATCTGGGGAGCTTTCGCCCATCTGGAGGACGGATCACGGATGAAGTGTCAGTTGAAATGCAGAAGGCTCGATTGGCATTAGCCAACTTCCGGCATCTGTGGCGACGCCACGACATCAGGATGTCGATACAAGGTCGAGTATATGCTGTAGCAGTACGGCCAATGCTGCTCTGTAGTGCAGAGATGAGAACAGATTTTTATTGTTTGAACACCACTGCCTACACCGCATTGTAGGAGTCTGGTGGGGTAACTGGACGAGCAATTCTGAGGTTAGGCGTGAAGTTTTAAGTAATTTCGGTCGTCCACTGGAACAAGTAGTCGACCTCCATAGAGTACGCTGTGTGACATGTGTTGCGCATGTCACCTAACAGGTTGCCATGGTGCACGATGTTTGTCGAGGCAAGCAGTAAATATAAGGTCAAGGGTGGTCGAACGAAGAACTGGCATGAGGGTATGAAAACCTCAATCGGGATACTCGGTCAAATAGGTCGCGTTATACTCTGTGGATGGAGACCTTGGGATCGTTTTAATGAATAGTTTGAGACACTAAGTGATATGGTTGAGCGTCGTCAACAGCTGCTCTCGTGCACCATTTCAATTTTGTTGCTGCCTTATCTTACTGAAATTCTGCAGTTTCTCTTCAATTCTACTTTCAACTTCCCTTGTCTTTCTGGTAATGCTTCATCCAAATTGGGAGCCAAAGACAGCAATCAAAACTGGCGCATGCAAAATATTTCACGCACTCGCGTGAAACTGGTCCCAAAGAACGTGTCCGATAAATATTTACAAAGAAATTTTGATCGATTTATTAGTACAACACAATCCTATTTATTGACGTCAAACTCACGTGTCTGGTATAGAAATATCGGAGCATATCACAAGATGAATTTGATCGTTCCTTAGTAATCTGAAGTTCTCATTAATACTTTATTTGTTCAATTTCATTGCACTTTTCCGATTCCTCAGTATCTTTGTTTATCATACTGACAAATTTTACTTTATGTAATAGTATCAACAACCAAACTCGGATTGCGACAACAATCGAATGTCTTATGGTCTGTCAGTTAAGAATCAGGAAAACTTATGTTTGTTGACTGGATAAATTGGGAATATTTAACCATATAAGGAGAACAGATTACTTCTCCCGTTAGTTCATACACACGGCATGTTCGTCTCCTCCTCAGTTGGCAAGAAATCCAATGCAATCGGCTGGCTGCTTTGCTGTTCTAACCGGTATACTGCGAAACCCCAATTGCAATATCTTCGAGCTAGATTTACGAGTGAGTGTGCACAGACCCATGTTTTTCTGATTGCTCTGAGTGTCTTGAAAACACATCTTCAAGCACCTCTTGTCCTTATTTGCATATTTATTCTATAGACCATGCTCAATCTCTTAGATTGTGATAGATTTTTCTTTTGGGCGCGACTGGGTCGTTCAGGGGCAGATTTAGTAAATCAATGTACCCAATGTATGCAGTTTCCAGTCAACGAGTTTTTGTCCTGTTCCGTGAATGCCTTAAGCATCTGGATTCATCTAGCAACTGAATGATTTTTCCCTCGGCCAGAAAAGTCTTTTCCCGACAAATATTGATCGTAGAATATTCCCACTGATAATTAAGAACAAAATGGAAACGCGAAAAGTTCTCTTTTTTCTCGTAAATCACTTTGTGCGATGCCATCATTGGATTATTCAGTCGATCATTAAATGGCGGAGACTGGTGTTGGCTGTGCCTCTGTGTGTGTGTGCGTGTATGCGTAATTAGCTATGTGGTAACTACGCATAGATAAGGACAAGTACAGTGAAAGCTTTTGAGCTGCATACGACAAGTACCAGTCGAGAATGAATAAAACAAGTGTGAAAAGGGTCAGTCAGCCAGAAGGGTAAATGAGAGAGAGAGCCTTACAGGGACAATCACTTCTTTCTATTTTCACCTGCTCGGTGTTCTTAGCAATTATTTAAAAACGTTTCATCATCAGTGCTTGTAAAGTAAGATCGTTCTGCTTTTGCATATATACATATATATACATATATATTCTTCATTGAGAATTACTTCAGTTCCTTGTTCCTGTTGTTTTCAACCTGGTTCGCCGTTGAACCAGCGCTAAACGACGAAGTTGTTGTTCTGCTGTTTGGATCTCAGTTGTTTTCAGCTCCGTTTCTTGGTCACGACGAGACCGTTTGTTGCGTTAATTGTTCTTTGAGTGCCGTTGGCGCTTACATGTGATTCAGTTCAATACTACTGTTTACGGAGTGGATCGAAGCCTCGAGAAGTTCCGTGGCGTGTTTTGATCGGGCTTATGGAATGATTCGCTCTGATTCGAAGACTTTTATGACCACGGTAATAGCAGCGCTTGGACTGGTTTGCGTTGCTTGCAAGATGGCTCTATAATTCTGATGGACTTGGTTTCCCCAGTTGTCAAAATCTTCTTTCGAAATCCTTTGATGTGGATCTTGTAAACGCTATACCTAGGTCAATCGAGTGTCAATTTTCGACGAAGGTTTGTAAGGTTGAACTGTTCAGGTTCTTCGCTGTTCCTTTTCGAACTAGGGATAGCAAATCTTCTGATATTCTCTTGGGTGAAGTCTTCGTGGTGTCAGATATAACCATCACCATCACAAACAAACGTAAACACGCGAAATCTTTTAATGTTATTTAAATTTTTCTAATGCTGTTTTTCTCCTTACGGTATGAGGATGTGTCAAACATCTTGAACGGAACCACAAGTGTATCCCGCAATGAGTCATACTCCTTAGTGTCTCTAGTCAGAGTCATTCGGCGTGGTTTACGCCTCTGGTTGAAGGTCGTTGCTTATCTTAGTGCACGGGATCTACCTTCTATTCATTATTGCTTGGCTTCATATTCCATTCGAGGCACGTAATCGGCTAGCGTAGTAACAGAGCTTGGATGAGTTTCCTCAACACAGCCATTCCCCGAGATACGGTGTGAAGGAGAATTAAACCGTTCGAGGAGTTAGTCTCCATAATGCAAGTCTCTTGAACGCAACAAACATCTCGAATAATCGCCGAAGTTCTTGTGGAAATTTTAGGATCTTTTTACTTGAGTGGGATTTCCAATCATACCATATATATTCGGCTTGCAAACAAGTGTGGTGCCAAAGCAATAAAAACAATAATAACTAGTAACATTTCACATATGACTCTCTGAATTTTGATTTAAAAGCGACCTATTCCTTTGTTATCTTAGAAATGGCATCTGATTAGATGTGTTCACAAACCAATTCTTCTGCTCATTGATCTCAACAATTTAATCCTCACTTATTTGGTCAAACATAGTGGTGCCGTTGGGTATTATCTAACATTATTTCGGATAGACAACAAAAGATAATTACTGTTGGCATCCAAATATTTTTCTGCCGTGTGACGAGGAAAACAATGCAAATAGCACTGGTAGTTATTATCCCATCAGTTCAACCGTTTTTATCATATTTCATTTGCTCTGTACATGAAGAAATTCAACATTTATTTTTGTTATCCATTATTTACCGGGTTGAGCTTTCTGAGTTTCTTTAACTGGTCGATGCTCCACTTTGCATCAATGGTGGGCTTCTCCGTTGTCTTTTGCCCAAAACCTCATCTTTCAAATTAATTTCTATTTGGCATCTCAATATCTCGTGACACATCTTGCAGTGATCGTTGCTCCCGTACTAATAAGAACTGGATGCAACTGTCATAGGGTGCTATTGTGATATTTGAGAAAAACGCGAAATAGCGAACAAGCTCGTTTTTGATAACTTCCTCATCTGGTTAATATAGTTATATAAACAGGTAGTAGGCATATCACATTTGCATAACGTTTGTTGTGTGTGTGGACTGGATTGGTAGCTATAATTAGTTGTTTATATGTGGTTTACAAACAAAAATAGAGTGGTGGGTAGGTGGGAATAGGGACGTGTCACAAGAGGGTTAGGTTTGAGTCAAGGTTAACTATCACCTGTTTGATGCACGGGATCAATCGAAAGAGTCAAGGGGTCATGGAACTGGTCAGCTCCAGTATTGCGACTGAATTCACTCCGTCGCCATGGCAGTTGAAGTGCGTTAAAGAATCGTTTCTGGGAACAAAGCGATGGGTTAAACAGACGGATGGCTACTGCCTTAGCTGTTGCTAAATGTTGTTGACGAACAGCCTTAAATAGATATGGAGGCACCCGGTAAATCACCTTGAAAGCGTCGTCACTCACAGTATGTCCCATATTTGCGAGATGTTCCACAATGGCACTTGTCATGGTTTTTCTATACCCAGTAGTCAACCAGGCTGGTTTGTGTTCCTGGATCCTCTGGGAAAATATAAATAGATTGAGGATGGCCTCACTCGGTGTCACTTCGTTATTCACTAATGTGCCGCTTTGGGAGACAATTTCATACCTATGCGATTATTTAGTGGAAAACAACATCAATATTAGTATTCCACTGACTAGCTTGAAGGAATTATCACTCCATTTCACGTTCAACGTTCTGTTCACTTTTAACAATGAAATCTATCGTCAGACTGACGCAGTAGCCATGGGTTCTCCACTAGGACCCCTAATGGTTGATATATTTATGGCCCAACTAAAAAACCATGGACTCAGAACCAACAGAGATAGTCTGCCTTTTTATTGTCGTTATGTGGATGACATCCTCATCGTAAGACGTGAGAAATGATATTGGGCAAAAAGAAAAAGAGCTTGTTGGCTATTTCGCGTTTTTTCTCAAATGTTACAATGGCAGTCTTCAACTAATATTGTGACATTATCGATAGTGTATCTGCCAGGTTGATCACACGTTTCATCTTTATTCTATCTTTCATATCGTCCGTCACCAATTTTCATCTTACAGGACATCATTGTTAATCAGGATTTTCGCGAGCTTCAAGATTCGGCACGAGTAAAATTGCCCAATCTGGTAGTTCGCAGTGGTAAAACAACAACTGAACGTACCCGAGCGCTCTCACCCAAATTCCGATTACCAAATCGATCACCGAGAGAAGTTTTACAAATCATGGGAAAAATTACTGGCATCAAGTTGGCTGACATGCTCAAGCCATACGATACAGTAGGTGACAAAGTTGTCACTAGGCAGGTATTCAATAAAGTTCTTCCAGTAAGTTTACTACACTGATTCACGTTTGTTTTTCTTTTCGAAAAATTCATAACTTCTTATTAGTTTTAAGCTTATATATACCGAATGTGATTCTTAGGTGCTTCATCCGTTGATAATTATCTCTTGATAGTGAATGAGTCTGTGTTCTGCGTGAATACTGCTGATTACAGTTATTTAAGTGGAAAAGTTATTACAACGTTCGAATCTCCACTCCAGAAAGGAACCCGGTAGACTGAATTTAGATCCAGTTATTTCACTTTTGATTCCTTACGGGGTGAACAGCAGTGCATCTGCTTCGATAACTATTCACTTCAGTTGTATTAAGTGACGAAACCAACCTTGGTGGTATTGAAACAACCCTGAAGTAATTTCGGTTTCCGAAATGCGGCATCTTGAATCTATCGTTTACAACCCCGTCACTGCGACTAATTTTCTATGTTCGATACAAACACCATTCCCTGAAAACCTCTAGCCTCCTGTGTATCATCATTGCATAATCAGGCGGGGCGTATGTAAGAATTATTACTATTGTTTGTAAATTTATCCCCTTGAACCCATAGAATATCCATGATCAGCATATGAGAAAAACGCAACTTTAGTCAGCTGAGCATCATAGTTGAGCTTTTATTGTATAATATGCTCTGCTCGTCGTGAGAGCTGGTTACTAAGATGCATTGCTGTGAAGCTTCAAAAACACTGCTTGTGACACTTTTTCATATTTATTGCTATTATCATATAATCGATTTATGCCCCAAATCAATTTTCAGTTCTTCCCGCATAGTTCTTGGAACAACCGTATTGTCAGCAAACATCAGATCTAAGGCCCATACTTTTAAACTTGCATCATAGTCAATGAGAAAACAGTCCTACCTTTCATAACGGCTTGCAGGCACGCATGAAGTCTATCCAGCTCATTGTAAATATGTTTGTCTTTCGGCTTTGTCTAATGCTAATTGTCTTCGGATAATTGCTTGTGGTTGATTTAGAACATCACGTGAGTATACCGACGTTTATTAGTCCCCCAAAAGCCTTCCGCTTGCAACTATCATCCCGACGCATCTTATTCGATGGCTTGAGCACTGGCTGGGAATCTCATTATGAGTAGTTCTTGAGGAATGGAGGAAAGCTTGTGAAGGATTTATGAACGACGACTTACTCAACACTCAGTCTGAACCCCAGCTATTATCAGTTACTTGTTACATCACCTTTATAAACTAGTATTGCATTCCGGCGATTTCGAGTCGAGTGCAATACACATTATAATTCAGCGAATTGAAGCGATGCCCAAGGGAACTACGTACAGCCCAATGGTATACCGGAACTTATAGCGGTGTTGTAGTGCACAGTGTGTTGTGATGTTTTGATCGGACAAGTTGCATGATTTTGTTCTTTCCCGATTATCATTGAAATATTGCAAGCAATTGTGCTATAGCAGAAAGATTGGATTATCTATTAGGTGTTGCATTCCGGTCTGTCCACCAAGTAGAAAGTAGAAAAGTAAAATTCATTACCTCAGGATTATCTCGTCGCACCAAACAGATGAAAATGCCATTGCGATTGATATGAATTACTCACATATGTAGGCATTCCAAACTATACCTTATTGAACCGTGGTTTTTAAACATGTATGCACTTATATAACTTAATTGATCGTTGATCTAACATACGTATCTGACGTGCCATTCTAAATCAATTATCACTTTTCCCAAAAATACTTCTCAAAGTAAACATCATTTGTTTTCTTTGACTTTAATTTTGCAGATATATACATCGGTACGTGAATAAACAGGACTTTTGTTGTTTTCATTTCTTTTTGTTATTGTTTGTTCATAGCCCTTTTAAATGTTGTCATCATTTAACTGCCCTCCGGTAAGAACCTCAAATTACTTGATGGGATAATGACAAAAACGAGATCGTGTAATGTCAAAAGAGTTAGGTTTTAGTGCCCTCAGCTAATGGAAACGGTGAGCGGCGAAAGTACACAACGTCCATCACTTTTTCGTTGCTGGATTCTTTAATAAAACCATACCTAGCCAGAAGGATGAAATTCTAGATGTAACACGACAACCTTAATTTCAGAACAAAACTTTCTGCTTTGTGTTAATTGGAGCAAAAGTTATTATGAGCTGGAGGTGACTAATGAATGCGCTCCCCACCCAATCACGGTGGACTATGGTCTGCCCTTGGGCCACAAGGTATGGGATCTGGAAACTGCAAGCCATCGTTTTCTGTGAAGTGGAAATTTGAGCAAGTTACAAACTTCTCCGAATAATTAAAGTAATAAAAAGACTCCGTTCCACATTTACTTTGCCCCTTTAGAATGTAAAATTTTGTTACAGTTTTAGGTTTATCGCAAAGCTATGTTTTTACCAAATCGTTATAGAGAAGGCCGGCAAAGTTAGATATATAAACAACTGCAAGATTCGTGGTAGATTTAATTCATATTTAATCACTCATTCAAAAGGTTCTTTCCATTTTTCCAACGTTAGACATATATGACCACCACGGTATTCGTCTGTTTGGTCAACAATTCAGTTCAGTTCAATTTGTATAACCATTCACCATGCACATTCGTGCGCCGGTTTTGATTGCTGTCAACAAGGGCTGATGAAGAATGCGAAAACACGGTCGTTGAATATAGAAGACTAATAGAGATCATTGGTGTTTCAACAGCTTTTTTATGAATCATCGTAGGAATCTAGGGACAATAAGGGTAAAAGTGGCGAGCACGGATAAAGAATATTCATCAATTAAAGTGTGTTTGGAACCTTGCAAAAGCAATGACTAAACTGCTTCTAATTGTGGTGCTTGCTGAAACGTATATTGGAAGAGCAGGCGTTGTCAAACTGTGAGGCATTATAAAGGTATGGAAACTTGAATAATACTAGTGGCCATGTAGATTGTGTTGATTTTTCCGTCTCATACCCCAGGATCTACCGGATTACTTATTGAAGATTTTAGGTAATTCGACTGACTGTCTCAGTTAATGCTGATGCGTTAACTTGGTGTTTGTACACTTCCTTCTTTGATGTATTCGTTTCGGTTTCACTCTGTGTTTTGGTCTTATTATAATTTTTCTGTACTAGACCAGCAACCAAAATTAGAGCAGATCAGTGCAGGTTAATTTCCGTACGAACTGAAGCCTAAGTTTAATTCCATTTCTAAAATTCAAACAAACTACTTAGGTGCTTTGGATTTATTTTGCTAAGGAATGAGCCTGGTGTCCTCTTGATTGGTGAAAGTAGTTCCGCAAATTTGATCGAAGATCTTTTGTAACACATTGGCAGAAAAAAATCAATTCAACGCAATAGGCCAATAAACATAACTAAAGCTTCCACTTCGCCTGCTCATCGAGGTTGGCAAGATTTAACTCACTGCAACTATTTGCTGATAAAGAAACAGATGTAACACCTCTTGGTTCCAATAAATGGATTACTTAATGCCACTAATATTTGATTTCGCAGTAAAATCATGTTTATTGTAATGTACCAATATTTCGTTGTTTCTTAAATAGGGGTTAGTTGGTTCGACGTAAATCGTTGATATATTCCAAAGGTGGCAACGTTTAACGATAGTGTCTTCTCAACAATTGTTGGCTTCATCAGCTGTCTATTTAATGTGTTTATTTTAGCTCATGGAACATTTTATCAAATCGGCTAAACTTTAAATGCTTTTTCCCATCAACTGCATCGATTTATGACAGTGCATGAATTCTTCTATAGGAAAATTCTTTTATTCGGCTGGCATCATGATCCTTTCCATTTAAAGACGAGAAATAACAAACTCATTTGCATAATCCATATTCAGAATTGAGATCATTTCTTACCCGTTGTATTGGTCAATTCATGTATTGTGATTGTGTTCCATATAATTTTGACCACCTAGTAAATACTCTATGTAAATCGCTCAGTTATCAACTACAACTAACTATACATATACACATATACATATACACAATCGCGAAATATATTGAGGACGAAAAGTATAATGAATTTCATCCCGTTATATTCAAGGGGCTGTTAGTCTTCTCCATAAAGTCATATGCTCACTTTTGTTTGTAGTGCCTCTTCGTGTTAAATTTCCACATCCTGGAAATCACATTGCACTTTGAAAGATAATTACCTAGCGTATACATGTATTGCTCCAAGTAAGATAATTTGAAGGACGTTTCTGATAAAGTGCAGTGTACGAAGATAAGTTTGAAACTCTTTATTCTTACCAATATATCATTCGTATTCAGTAGTGGACCACTTGATGCTGCGATTCATTTTTGCATTTTAGGGAAAAGCGCTACTCATCAAGGTAGATTGTACTATGATTTGTTTGGCACACAGTTAGACCTCCGAATTTTGAGAAATATATTTAACGTAGATAGATTATATCTGTTCTACTTGTTGCCGATAAAATGTTCAATAGGTGATTCCGGTGATTAAGGAGGATATTGTACGATCACCTTGCTGAGCACGCTTGAAAAATCGGAAAAGCAACTAATGTACATTAGTTATCTCTTGATGACATTTTAGCGGTGAACGGTTATCCAAAAATTGATATTATCCATTTAGTGATGAAGCACTGTAGGTTCGCTCACTGGACTTACCGGCTTTCAACGCTTATGACGCTAGTTACCTACCTCAAGCAACATTCTAAACAGCTTTATGGTTGACTTATAAAGATAAAGTAGTAGATGGACTTTCCGTCTCAGCATGAGAGTTTGGATTTTCTGTACGCTATGCAACAAGTATCTCAATAAAACTATATATGGTATTCTATTGTGCTCGTCTGATATTTCGCGTTACTGAAAAACAACGATCAATTTTGGAACTAACCACAGAAAGTGGGCATTGATCTGACGGAAGAACAGTTGAAAGTGCTCATGTTGGAACTTGATCCGAACAACGAAGAAGAAATCGCCTTTAAGTAAGTCTAATTTAGTGTTGAGATCCGTTAAAAGTTGAATCCATAATGGAAAAGTTCACTGAATAATCATCCTTAGCAGTGTGAACTCAATGTGGTTTAGGTCTCCCCATGCATCGGATTTTCCTTCTGTTTCGTTTTAAACAAAATAATCGGATCATCTCGTTAGCGCTGACAGACAACTTTGCTGTTAATTTCAAGTCCAGAGAACAGAACGAGATTTTGTACCTGTTCCACGGATGTGTTGTTTGGAATCCCAATGCGTATATTTGTGCGTTCGATTTATCTTTCACATGTTCGGGTAAAAACCAATAACGCGTTACTGAGACGGTAATCGACTTACCCGGGCACTTGTCCAAACTTTCCAATAAGTTTACCAAGCAATCACCAAGGTTTTTTTTAGGGGGGGGNGTTTTTTTTGGGGGGGGGGGGAGGGGGGCACTAAAATTGGCAATGTCAATGCTTGTGTAAATAATGGACGAACCAGTCCAACTCTGCGATACAATAACCGATGCTTTCCTGTTTGCTTGACAGAATCAATTTTGCACATTCAGACACTCAGTGAGGTCAATTCATCAGTCGCTTCAAATTATTGTGGTACTGCTGGGGTTTTATGTATCTTAAGATTAATTTGAGAAACTATCACTTTGATTTGCGAAACCGTCTTTTTGAATTGAGAAACCATCACTTTGAAATGAGAAACTGTCTTTTGAATTGAGAAAGAAATGCTGTGGTTGGATCTGCTTCCGTTCAGTGCACCTCACTGGTCAACTGATCACACGTTTGATCTACCCCCTGACTGACCACCTGTCTTCCCACGCTCTTTCGGTGCTGAAATGAAGCAGACCTCGGTCTCGTATCTTCTTGAGCTCGCTGACGGACGGCGATTTGGTGGGTCAGTGAAGCCGTGCGATTTACGCGAGACAGCTAAGTTAAACCGGACTCGATAAGCACG